ACCCCTTCTGCCGGACGTGCTTGTTTCTGGAATATTTGCAATGAGTACCGAATTAAGAGTTATGTGTCCTTACTGGTATCTTTTAAACCGTGAGGGACATTCGGTTAATATACAAACAGGACAGAGACAAAGTAATAATCCTATTTTAAAGTGTCTTGCATTTTAATTTACTGATCAGATAAATTGAAATGTTCTGATTCAGAGCCCCTGCAGTTCATGCTAATTAGAACCACAACAATGCTCCTGAGGCCTTAGCACCTCACTGAGCTGGGGTCTGACTTTGTTCAGCACGACTTCTTGTTGCAGTTAAGCTCAGAGCTGGAGACAATTTCCATATTCTACCACACTAACTAGTCTGAAACTTAGTACACAGTACATACTTTTAAAGTGAAGTCAGGTTATTAAAAAATTAAACCAGCACCCTGTCACAGAAACATACTCCGGTCTCCTGCACAACAAGCAGGAGTACTCAACACTGTACTATGGTGGAGCACTTGGCTGCAGCTGAGCGTGAGCTCTGATTACTGTTAGCAGACATTTCCTCATTTCCAAAGACGTTTTCGCCTTCTCTCAGCTTTTTAAAGACGGTCATAAACGCTCAAGAAGTAATTCATTTCAGTTTGAAGTCTGTTTCTGTCTCCGCCCTTGATGAAGAAAAGCTGTGCCTGGGGGACTCCCTCTCTAAAGAGGTTTGCTGTCACCCTGCAAGGGAGAAGAGCCAAAAATCACTGAGGCAACTACTGAGGCAATTAAAATTTAACACGTCAATAAATAATAACCAAGAAAAAAGAAAACTAGCCCAAACAAATGTAAAGTTTAGAGCAGCGCTCAATAAAAATGTTCAGAAATCAAAAGCGCTACTTATGCGGATCAGTATATTCCGATACCGGTGGTTCTGCAGAAGAAAAAAGAATAGTTGAACTCCAAGCACTGTCTTGCCATCACGGCTACTCTGGCTGCAGCTGCTTTAAGATCTACTCAGCGGGCACAGAAAGTTGTAGGAGGTCAGACTGGTTTGTGCTGTCCAAATAACAGTATGCGAATTTAAGCTTTTTCAAATAAGAGTATTTACAATATAATACATACTTCAAAAGTGTTACTAATTAGCATAAGTGTTTTGGCAGATTGTGGTCTTCAATTAGTAAACGATGAAGTGTTTCCCTGCTCATGACCAGACCTGCCTCCATTTACACAGACTCCTGCTCAGCTCTTGATTTCACAGCAGTTTTTGAACAGAGCCCAACGCTGTAAGCAAGTTGAATTATGAAAAGTCATTAGGCACTAGGGATCCCAGTATGCTATCGCGTCCTACTTGCATGATCCTACTACATGGTTGGAGAGATCAAGAGGAGATCAAGAAACCCAAATTGGACTCAAACTCATGAGATTAAAAGTTCCATGCTCTACCCACTGTAGATTAAGCCGGCCCAGGGAAGCCAAATAATGTAGGGAAAACCGGTTCAGGGACGCCAAATATGTAGTCATAGTGGCTCTCTGAAGGCACCAGTTCTGTAGGGTTTGGGCATTTACTGAGACAATTATTAATTGTAGCAGTAAATCACAAAGTTGATTCTTT